GGGCGTTCCCGGCTGCTTCATGCGTTTAATTCGGAGCGGGAAGCTGAGCCAGAGCTTAGAGGAAAAGGAGGAAAATAAGGGAGGAAGGACGTGAGGCTCGGCACGGCACACAACAGGTTTTCGGCAGCGGATAGTCCTTCGGTGCAAGCAGACTGCTTGTGGTTGGTGGCTCTAAGCAGGGAAATAGCAATGAATGGGTGTTTGTTTATTTTTTTAACATGGCATCCGCAACAGAGGGATCAAGAGGACTTGAAGGTAGCTGCCTGCTCTGCTAGTTGAGTTAACACCAGTTTTCTTTGCTGTTTCCTCGAGGGTCTCTTGGCATGGCTGTGAATCGCCCTCAGCCACCCCTTCCCCTGGATGCGCTTCACTGACTTAATCTGGCTTTGCTCCGTGGGGCTGTAGTGAAACGTTTTTTTCTTTTTTTTTTTGAAGACCTCGTTTTTCCTCTGCCCAGCTGACATCAGGCACCAAGGATGCAGAGACAAGTGCTCCTGACTCGAGGAGGTTTGGCAGTAGGATTTCCCTTCAGGTTCGCAGCATCCCTTTACCTGCTGCCTGCTATATAGAAGGGCTTTGTGCTGGAGCCTAGGGAGCAGAACCTGCTGGTGACCTCTAACTGGATCAGACTTGCTTGCTTTAGATGTCTGTCCCTCTCCTTGCACTCAGGTATTCAGTGACAGTCTGGAAAATCGTGTTAGGTAGGTGCTGCTGGAGGCTAAGGGCTGACTTCTGCTTGGGAAAATGGGGAGGGACGAAACCTGGTGAACTCTGAATAGCCACAAGAAAAGCAAGCGGGGATCCTTTACAAGAAGAGCGAGCAGGGATCCTCTCCACCTATTGTGCTGCTATCTGTATGCCATAAGAAAATTCATCTGAACAGCCAATTTCTTGGGGTTTTTCATCGCCTTCTGCTCCAGACAGCATCCTCTCGCCTGGCTGAGGGCCACCACAGCCACCCTGGGCTACCACTTCCCCAGAGGCCGGCTTCCTCACCTGCCGAGTAGGGGCTTGCAGACCTGTGTCGTCGCTACAGAGGGATCCTTTCCACCAGGCACAATTATTTTTGCTTTTCATCCTCCTCCTTAAATCAGCTCTGCAGCATCTCAGTAAATAAGTGTGCAGAAGCCAGCTGCTCTCGTGCAGCCTGCGCTTGGCTTGGTGAGGGCTTCCTAGCCGCAAAATTTGAGGGATCGCCGTGCAGCATGCTGCGGACTGTCCAACAAGTCGTTCCTGGCTCAGCTCCTCCTGTCTCGTGCTACCTTGCTCCCTCTCTCTGACTCTCAGCGCTCCACTCCCGGTCCTGCGGGCTGACAGAGCGCGCGGGGTAGTGAGCGCGGCCAGGGCGTGTAGCATGCACGAATGTGCGGTGGGACTGGCGCCCAGGGACGCAGGTGGGCGCGTGCTCGGACACCGTGGGGGCCATGGCTTCGTTCGGGAAGCTCACGGAGTACTTCAGCCTGAGGAAGTCGAGGATGGAGCTGTGCTCTGGGCGGCGGAGCCGGCGGAGCGGGAGCTGTTGCTGTAGTGTCACCGAGTGCAGGTATGGCAGGGCAGCGGTGGCCCGTCGGCCCTGGTGCCTCTGTGTGTGCCCAGGGAGGTGTGGGGTGGGAGGTGCAGTCCTTGGTGGTTTGCTTTCCTTTTGCTTCTCTAGGGGCTGGGGAGGGGGCTTGGGAGCAAGCCAAGAGCTCTGCAAGCATCACCTCGGTCTTGTGTGGGGCTCCTGCGGCACATCTCTGGCCGGCTCTGTGCCCTGACATCCATCTCCCTGCCCAGGGCACGTCCCAGGTGTCGGCAGCACATCTCAGACGTCTGCTGGGTGACCACGTGCACGTGTCCCTGCTTGCCTCTGCCTTTTGCTTTCCGTGTTGTGCCGCTGCACCATCTCCCTGTTAGAGGAGTGAGGTTATTGCGTCGCAGTTGCCCTTCGCTCTCTCTGCCCCTCATGCTGCTGTGTCCAAAGTCCTCAACTGCACAGGCAGCAAGAAGTGGCTGCCAAGGGGAGGGGAGGCCATGCG